TGCCCCCTTCCACTGCCTTTGCTTTGCCCGGGTCAGGGAAGACAAGGTGCAGCCAGTGGAGGAAGAAAAGGGAGAGAATGCCAGTGAGCCCAGCCCCGTACCCAGCCACACCCAGCCAGCCCCCGGCATCCCCGCCCTGCTCATCACTGCCCACACCACCCACTGGGGACGGAGGGGCAGGGAGGGCACATGGCCTCCCAGCACCTCCCCATTGCAGACAACATTGCATCTTTCCACTTCTACCAAAAAGGAGAGAGGGAGGCCAACAGGTGGTGTAGTGGTTAGGCACTGGATTCTCACATGGCTGACCATGGTTCAAGTCCCAGACCTGGTGACTTGAAACTCACACCAGGCTTGTGTGCGTGTGTGCCCAAAATCCCAAGAGAAGAGTGGAGAAGAAAGAATTGTGGCATGGCCATCCCTCTGGGGGCAGAGGGGTGATTTCTCACTTTCTATCTAACTGTCTCTCTTCGTCTCTCTGGCGAATACATACGCCCTATAGCAAAAATCTCTCCCCCTAAGAAAAGGAAGGAGAGGGTCTGTACATATATTTACAGAATTATGTATGTAATGTATATAATTGGAGAGCTTAAGAACTTGGAAATATCTGAGAAAGGTGAATATTAAAAGGAAATACTTTTTATTGGTACTCAATGAAATGTGTTTTCATTCATTCACTCAAAAAATATATATATACATATATATTAATATGAGGATGATCTTTTTTTTTTTTTGAGAGGTTTTTCACTATAGGGGGTGTGCGCTCACCAGACAGACAGAGATAGAGAGACAGAAAGCAAGAAATCTCCCCCCGGGGGGATGGCCATGCCGCAATCCCTTCTCCTCCATTCTCCTCTTGGGATCTTGGACACACACGCACATGCCCCCGGCGTGAGTTTTAAGCCACCGGGTCCAGGATTCGAACCACAGTCGACTACATGGGAGTCCAGCGACATAGCCATTATGCTAACTGCTGGCCCCCCGAGGATGATCTTCTTTTATACCAGGAGTTCTTCTAAGCTCTGGCATTTGATCTCAGAGAGCTCCGATTCAGTGAGGAGACAGTTAAAAGTCGAGCAGTCAGAAAACTCGCAGCCTCAAACTGTGATGGCTGCCGTGAAGCAGAGGAGAGGGAGCGTGATGGGCGTGGTGCACACGAGGTTAGGGTGGGGGTCTTGCTTCCGCCCAGATGGGTCAGGGAAGGAGGGGCTTAGCAGGCACGAGCAGGTGTGATCTAGAAGGGGGCTGGGGGATGAGTTTGCTGGAACCCACATTAGCCATGGGAGTCAGGAGGACACGACCTACAGTCTGTTGACCTAAATGTATTGGATGCTGAGTAATTTTAAGGAGTAGTCAAGTCAGCAGGGCATGAAAGCCAAAGAATTTCAGCTGACTTCAGATCAGACAGGACGAGCCATCACCGTACTTCCAATAAAGCAGGACGGGCTGCTCGGAAACAGGTGGCGGGAGCCGTCGTCGTTCCGTGCTTCTGAGCGTCTTTGCGGTCTGACCGTGATTTGCGTCACTTTTGCTCGTCAGAGCCCCTTGCTGCTGTAAAGTGCACATTTCATGTCCAGACACTAAATGCTGGGATGCTCAGGTTTCATCTTGCATCCCCACTTTCCAGGAAGCAATCATGCCTGGTGTGTTCTTATCCTCCCTAAACTGCCTTTCCCAACCAAAACGCTCCTTTCTGGGCATCAGAAGCACCTGTTTTGGTGTGCCTGCGGTCCATGTCAGCGTGCATGGTGTTGTCTGCAGAGAGGCGCTAACGGACACGACTGGGTTCCCTTCCACACGTTTTCCAAGGGACAGCGATGTCTCCAGCAGGCCAATGCCATGATGTGCCTGAGTAGTTAGAACAACTCTGTGTAACAGTGCTCTTTACCTTTTTTGTTTGTTTTAAGTTTCTTTCTTACTTCCATGAGAGAGAGAGAGAGAAAGAAAATGCAGAGAGGCATTGTGCATAGTATCCCCAGTTGGATTTTTGTTTTGTTATGTTTTACTAGAGGGTGTGTATAGTCAGAGAGTGACAGAGAGGGAAGAGAAAGCCCCGTGTCCCCCCACAGGGAGTGATCATGCTTCAATCCCTTCTCCATCTCTCCCTCCTGTTGGGATTGTACACATGTTTATACACACGCCTAGGGTGTTTCTCGAACTGTCAGGCCCAGGATTCAAACTGCGCTGCCAGCCATGTAGTGTCCAGCTGCCTTAGCCACCAGGCCACGGTGCCAGTTTCCCAACTGGGTCTTCACAGCATAGTCCAGCCTGGCCTGGGTCTCAGGCTGCTGCATGTGCACCGGGTGTGCTCAGAGGGATTCTGGGATGCAAACCCAGAACCTTCCCCACATGGGGCCAGTTGTATTTCACCTGGCCCTCTGAAGTTTGTGTTTGTTTGCTTTTGTTTTTTTCTTTAAGAATTATTTATTTATTAATCCTTTCCTCTTCGTTGTTTTATTTCTAAAGGCTTGAGTTGTCTGTTGAAAACATCTTCCAAGACTGGCTTGAGAGTTCGGGAATACCAAAGGTACACTTGAGATAACTGCGTAAGAGCCTGTGGAGACTAGTAAAGCCTGCTGCTTAGTGCATCAGTTGTGACAATGACTTCATGTATGAATAGAGAAGGAATTACCCTCTTGAGTTGGGATATGAAGTCTGGCCACTATGCATTATATGAGTCCGTGGGGTGACTTTGGGATGGAGCCACCAGGCCACAGTTTAAGGCCCTACCATGGCTTGAGCAACTGGCTCCAGCTCTGCTGTCGGGAGGAGCCGGACAAGTGAGCCGGTTCACTTCAGCTTTCATCTGACCTGTGGTACGTGGTTCCTGTCCCTCATTTCTGACACATGTGCCCCTCCACTTCCTCCCTTGGTTCTGCATCAGGTTCCTGCCTCAGGCTGACCTTCTCAACAGGAGGACCTCCTGAGATAATCCCTCTGTCTCCTGGACGTGTGCTCACCCTCACTTGACATTTGGTCTCCCCCACTTTCAGTCCACGAGCAACTCTGAGGGAGAGCCCTTCTCCTGGGCAGCCCTAGCTCCGTGGGAATCACCTGGCCTTTTGGCCTGGAACCTTCACTCTCCTTTCACTTTCCCAGTTTCCACGCCTCTTAGAACCCCTTGGCCTGCCCAGACTTCCCTGCCACTCGAATGCTAAACCTAGCGAGAGCCTGGGACCGTAGGGCGGCTCTTGGGTGGGGTGGTCTACAGACCTGTGGGCCTGGAGCTCTCCCAGCCGGGGCCAGCTCTCAGAGCAGCTGCAGATGGGCCTGACCCATCACAGTGGCTTTGGTGCCTGGGGACGGACCCCCTGGCTGTGAGAAGTGCTGCCCCAGGCCCAGGCGGGCAGCCTCTTTAGCCTGCCGGTTTCTGGTTTCATGGCTGGTTACATGACCTTCCCCCGGGAGTGTCTGAATGTCAATGAACGTCTGTGAACCGTGAAATGAAGGAGCAGGAGGAGCTGTTCTCCATTAGTTCTCATCCCTCTACTCACATCTTTGTCCTTTTCCGCCAGGCGGGGGTGGGGGGAAATACCAGCTACCAGCCACCATGAGCTCATTATAGAAAAAAGAGCCTTCGTCCTCAGTTCAAGAATGTGTGTCACCTGTTAAAAGGTATTTGGCCCAATCCTTCTAGGAGCAAAAATAAAGTAAAATAAAATCCGGAGCGTTAAAAATAAAACACAGTGGGGGTGGGGCAAGGCAGCACCTGGTCCTGGGACGTGGTGCCTCCGACTCCTATCATTAGGAAGGTGACTCCCAGACCACTCACCCAGTACAAGAATCCAGGGGAGACCAGTTAAGGTTTTTCTGGTGGTGAACAGCTAAGCTTTACCCTTCCTGTTTCAGATGTGGGAGTGGAGGGTGGAGGCGTGACATTCATGTGTTCCTCCAATGCAGGCCATTCCAAGGCTCCCAGATATCCTTACTGAGGCCTGGAAACTGGGAAGTAGGGAGCTCAGAGAGCCAGCTCCCAAATTCCCTGGTCTGGAACAACAGAGCTATTGTTTGCAGCAGTTAGCCCCAAGGGAAAGGAAAAGAAAGAGTCCTTAATCCTGTGTCTAGATGCAGGCACACCCCCACTTGGGCTAGCTGGGGCTGACCCTCACTGCCAGGGGGCTCTGTAATTCCCCTGAAGAGAAGGAGACTGCCTCCAGCAGGAAGCTTTTGCTTTTCATTAAAAGGGGGAAGGGTACATGGAACAGAGAGATTTGCAACAGAGAGATTTGCGTCTGCGCTGTGTGTTTTTTCTGGAGAGATTTGCGTCTGCGCTGTGTGCTTTTTCTGTAGGTCTAGTGCATCGGTGGCAGCTTATAGTGTAGACAAGGATCTCTGCTGTAAACTGACGAAACCTGCTGTCAAAACAACCAGGTGCAATGAGGCCAGTCAGCTAGGGTGGCGTGATGATCATCATGTGTTCCAATGCAGGCCATTCCAAGGCTCCCAGATATCCTTACTGAGGCCTGGAAACTGGGAAGTAGGGAGCTCAGAGAGCCAGCTCCCAAATTCCCTGGTCTGGAACAACAGAGCTATTGTTTGCAGCAGTTAGCCCCAAGGGAAAGGAAAAGAAAGAGTCCTTAATCCTGTGTCTAGATGCAGGCACACCCCCACTTGGGCTAGCTGGGGCTGACCCTCACTGCCAGGGGGCTCTGTAATTCCCCTGAAGAGAAGGAGACTGCCTCCAGCAGGAAGCTTTTGCTTTTCATTAAAAGGGGGAAGGGTACATGGAACAGAGAGATTTGCAACAGAGAGATTTGCGTCTGCGCTGTGTGTTTTTTCTGGAGAGATTTGCGTCTGCGCTGTGTGCTTTTTCTGTAGGTCTAGTGCATCGGTGGCAGCTTATAGTGTAGACAAGGATCTCTGCTGTAAACTGACGAAACCTGCTGTCAAAACAACCAGGTGCAATGAGGCCAGTCAGCTATAAATTGTCTTTAAGACCCAACTGGTATTTCCTCGGGTGCTTAACTATTCAGTAAAAACAACAGCGCCAGACAGAAAAGACCCTGATTTAGTGCACATCTTACCATCGGTGAGCGAGCAGATGGCATCGTTTCATCCCTTCTCCCCATTTGCTGCCCTTGTGGATCTGGCTGGGCTGAGTTACCTGCTCTCAGCCCCGTCCATGCTGCTAGAAAATTCCTCGTTTCCACTTCAGTGAAGGCTCTGTGAGGGCCTGAGACCCTTTGGCTGCAGGAGCCTTGCGCGGTGAAAGGACACCCTGTCCTTCGTCCCCGTCATTATACTATAACGTTACCAGCCCGCCTGCCCCAGAACGACAGCCAGAGCCCTGAAACCGCTCTGACGCTCTTTGTTCTCGTTCAGAATTCCTGTCCACCGGCAATTGAAGTCATTCGTGACAAGAGAGTCACGTTCTGCTGGCGAAGCTTTCATTCCACAGGTTACAGAGACTTTCTGTCTTCTCTCAGGAAGGCTTGCCTTGTGCTTGGCTTCGATTTTCCTTTTTGGCTGCGTTGAATGGAGATCCTAACGACAACAACCAAAAAGGTGGAAATAGCTTCAGCTGCAATAGAAGTCCACATGAGCCCCCAAGATCCTAACGTTTTTAAAGACTGCCCCAACCCTGTAACCTTCAACCTTGCAAAGAGATTAGGAATTCTGCTATCAATATTACAGTTTCCTTTCATGGTTTACTTTTTCTGATTATTAAAATATTACTCAGTTTGGGACCAGCAGTTAGCCTAATGGCTATGTTGCTCGACTCCCATGTAGCTGACCACAGTTCAAGTTCCAGACCTGGTGGCTTAAAACTCATGCCGGGTGCGTGTGTGTGCGTGCCCAAGATCCTGTGAGGAGAATGGAGAAGGGATTGTGGCGTAGCCATCCCCCCTGGGGGATGATTGCTTGCTTTATGTCTCTCTGTCTCTCTCTGGCTGGCTGGCGAGCGCACACGCCCTATAGCAAAAACCCCTCAAAAATATATATATATATAAAACGCAGTTTTACTTTGGAATATATTGGCTATTGGGAAAGTTGTGACACATTTTCGCATAGAAAAACCTAGAAAAATATGTCATGACTTTCCCAATGACTTAGTAAAAACGTTAATAAAATAAAATTGATCCAGAGATAAATGTCTTTATAAATCTTCTCAGTCAGTGTTCTGTATGTAGAAATAAATATTTTAATCTTTTTCACTCTCTCTCTGGCTCTCCTTTTTTTTTTTTTTTTTTTAGCCAGAGGCTACCTAATGCCAGAGGCTACCTGTGTTTGCCAGGCAAAGAGAGAGAGAGAGAGAGCTCTCCTTCTCCTCCATTTCTCTATCCTATCAGGATTTGGGACACATGCACCCAGCACATCTTTTGAGCCTCCAGAGTGGGGACGTGAACTGCGTTCAGCCATGCGACATCTGGTTCCTTTAACCTCTAGGCTATGGCTGGCTCTCCTCCTGTTTTTAAAGTAAAATAACAGGCTCCTTGGAACAAGTTCAACCAGAAGCAAAATATAAACTGGAAAAGCACTCAGCCTCTCTTTTTTTTTTTTTTTTTTTTTTTTTTTGAGAGGTTTTTGCTATAGGGTGCATGCATTCACCAGACAGACAGAGAGAAACAGAAAGACAGAAAGGGAGAAATCAGCCCCCAGGGGGGTTGGCCACGCCGCAATCCCTTCTCCTCCATTCCCCTCTCGGGATCTTGGGCACGCATGCACACACACCCAGTGTGAGTTTTAAGCCACCAGGTCCGGGACTCGAACCGCGGTCAACTAGGTGGGAGTCCAGCAACATATCCATTACTCTAACTGCGGGTCCCAGCACTCGGCCTCTTTATTCTTACCCCCCAAAATAACTCATGCCTGCTAGCTGCTTGCTGTGTGTCTTCCCACATATTTTCTGTGCTGTCCAGCAGAGGCCCCAAGCCCCAGGCCACAGACAGACCAGTCAGGGACAAGGCTGCACAACAGGAGGTGGAGGGGCCGAGTGAAGCCGCATCTGTGCTCACAGCCGCTCTCCATCACCCCCAGGGCCACCTGAGCTGCGCCTCCTGTCCGGTCGGCGCGACATTAGATTCTCAAAGGAGCACAAACCCCATTGTGACCTGCACATGCAAAGGATCTAGGTTGAGCACTCTCATACATCATCCCCCCAACCCTTCTCCGTGTCGGCAGGAAAATAGCCTTCCATGAAACTGGTCCCTGGATGGGGACCACCACTGTATAGCATTTAAGTACATACCCTTTTTAAGTAAAATTGGAATCTTATCTTTGACATACAGATTTTTCATTTAAGAATATATCTTGAGCAGTTTCCTACATCCCTAAATATAATTAATGAGCAATAATTTTTAACAGCTGCGTTGCTTCCTAATGAACAGTGCCATAACTGAGTTTACTCAGTCCTCACCCCCACTGTTAGACTAGTACATATTATTTTTTAAGAAAAATGCACATTCTGATACTTTGGCAGCTCTATAGATTTTTATTTCTGTTTGTCCAGAAGTACCCCTGCATATTCCCATATAGTCAAATCTTCTTTTAAAACATTTATATGGGGGCCAGCAGGCAGCATGGTACTGGAACCCTACATAGCTGACCATGGTTCAAGTCCCAGACCTGGTGGCTTGTTTTTCGTTTTCTCTCTTTCTGGTAAGTGCACATGTCCTGTAGCAGAAGTTTTGAAAATAATAATAATAAATAAATAAAATTAAATAGTTTAAAAATTTATAAGAAGATATACTAGAAATAACTTTCCTCCCTCCAGCCTTTCTTCTATACTCCTTATCTTTGTTGCTTTAGAACTCTCTGGCTCCTCCTTCCTTCCTCTGATTTCCTCTATACTGCCAAGTCCTGAGGCCTTTATGTATGTGCTTATCAAATTTCTGATTTTCTTTCCTCCTCTAACACCTCCACATTTTTTTCATTATATTTTGCTTGGACTAGTACAATAGCTAATTCATCATTTAGCCATCCTCATTTCCAGTCATCATTCTTATCAAGGCCAAGGGACTCCTCCCCAGACACAGTTCAAGTCCATACTCCTGATCAGAAGCTTTATCCCACTGACAATGCTTTTAGAAGTCTTTGGCCTGCTAATTGAGATGATCGGTAATATCGCCCAACACTCTCTCTTTTTTTTTTCCCTGAAGTTTTTGCCATAGAGCACATACACTCACCAGAGAGAGACAGTGAGAGGGAAAGTGAGAAATCACCCTCCCAGGGGCAATGACCATGCCGCAATCCCCTCCCCTCCATTCTCTCCCTGGGATTTTGGGCACCTGCGCACATGCACCCAGCATGAGTGTCAAGCCACCAGGTCTGGGACTCGAACCATAGTGGGCCATGTGGGAGTGCAGGACCTTCACCACCAGATCACCTGCTGGCCCCTGTAGCTACCTTTTTAAACGTTACTTCCCACCCTTCCAGGCACATGCTCAACCGTAACACCCAGTCTCCTGTCAGAGCTGAGCTTTACCCCCAGCCTGCCGTTGTGCTTGTGCTGTCCCTGCCTTGGCATGCTTCTCGTTCTGCATGTGTGTCACACGTAGTCCTCCGCCGCCAGCCTCCAGAAACAAGGGTTCTGTGCTGCTCACCCTCGTGGTACCTGTTCTGATGCTCGCTGGGGCTGCTGCCCTCGGCGGATGCTCAGGGACTCACTGTGTAGGACAGTCACCACGAGCCACACGCAGTTTTGGGCTTGAAATATATCCATTGCACCTGAGGAGCTCAATTTTTAATTTAATCTTAATTTAAATGGAAAGTGTTATAGTTCAGTGATTATTTGGAACAACTTGAGTATGTGAATGAATGTGCTTTTGTGTGTGTGAAATTTATGAAATATACATTTACACCAAGCATTTCTGATTCAAACGTAACATCTGAATCAAGATAGACTGTGAAAACACATCAAGTTTAGAAGACTCGGTACAAAAAAATAAAGGGAAACTGTTTCATTGATGGTCTTTTTTATGTTGGTTACACGTTGAAATGATGGTATTTTGGATACTTCGCAACTCCATGTATGAGGGAGACTTCAAAAAGTTCATGAAAAGTCTGTATTATGAAAAAAACTGCAAGGATTTTTAGAAATTTTGCCCCAGAGTTACACTTTAATTCCATTTCCCACAAACTTTTTGAAGCACTCTCATATATACACATATATGTGTATTTATACACACATATATATCTAATAGCATATACCATTAAAATTAATTTTGCCCTTTGTACTTTTTTTTTTTTTGCCCTAGGGCTCATTCACTCTCTAGAGAGACAGACAGAGACCCAGAGAGAGGGAAAGTACGAAAACAACCCCCTGGAAGGTTGCCCCCATGATGCAGTCCCTTCTCCATTCTCATCTCGGGATTTGGGGCACACATGCACATGTACCAGTCCTGGGATGTGAACCATGGAGCTGGCCATGTGGGACCCAGCACCTTGACCACTGTGCCTCCTATTGGCCCTCTTCATATATTTAAATGTGGTAACTAGACAATTTAAAATGACACACGTGGCTCACATACATTCCTATTAAACAGGGCTGCTCCAAAGTTATTAGTTGAATTAAAATCTGAGTGCCAAATGCCTTGAAATCACCCACAGAATGGGTATGATTGGAATCATTTGTATTTTTGTCAAACATTTAGGTAACTATGGCTTGCGCTTACTGATAGGGACCCTCTGCCTTGCTGTGGTGGCCCAGATGAGTATCCCTAGGAGGGGGCTGGAGTGCTGGGCTCACAGCAGGCCACGGGCATGAGCTAGGGGCCAGGTGGTGGAGCTGCTGTGGTAAGATGCAGTGCTCTGCAAGGCAATCCCACGTGGTAGGGTTCCCATTCCAAACTGGAGACCTCCCTGACTACCCCAGGCATGGTCTTGCCCGTGATCCTGGGCTGCTGAAAGTAAAGGGGGAGTCATGGCTCCCAGACCCTCCTGGGGCTGCTGTCTTTCCTAGTCTCTGTCTCTGTCGTGCAAGCTTATAAAAATAAGGGGGCATGAACTAACTCTCAGATGAACCTAGCAGCCCTTCTGTGTCTCCGTCTCCTCTTTGAGGGAAGAGTTCAGCAACTGTTAAATGGCACGGTCGTGGACAGCAGTGGCAGTGAGAGTATGATGGCGAACCACAGAGTGTGTCCCAGAAATTGGCAGGAACCAACCCCAGTTCCCAGACCTGCTCCTGCATCCCAGAATTTAGAACAGCAGGTTATTTCGTCATCTTGGGAAAATGTCACTTCTTTACAAGCAAACACCTACAAGTTGCCAAGGCCACATAAGCTGATCATAGCAAACTTAAGTCTTCTAGAGAAAATGCTGCAATCACAAAATTGAGGGAACTTAGTGAGATACAGTGCAGAAGGCTTTCTGTCACCGTAGTCATGATGGACTTCGGAGAGGAGAAAACCAGCTGGTTTACTAGAGGAATAATAACTTGTAGGCTTCTTTTAGCAAACATTACGTCAACATAATTTCAAAACCCATGAAGATGCACAGTATCAGTGGCTTCTATACAAATTCTCCATTTCATGGCCAGTCAAGAA